TGACCTCGGCGAACGACTACGAGCATCTGGAGCTGCAGCAGCCGTACAGCCGCGTCAACGTCCGCTGGGACGCGTCCGACGATGAGCTGGACAACGACAACAGCTCGGCGCGCCTCTTCGAGCGCTCCCGCATCAAAGCGTTGGCAGGTCGGCAACGGCGTGGGGACGGGGACTCGGGCTTCCCCTTTGGTCCTCCCCACGCTGGGGTTGTCCCCGCTTGGTGCCAGCGCAGGCGTTGTCGTCGTACAGCCGCGTCAACGTCCGCTGGGACGCGTCCGACGATGAGCTGGACAACGACAACAGCTCGGCGCGCCTCTTCGAGCGCTCCCGCATCAAAGCGTTGGCAGGTCGGCAACGGCGTGGGGACGGGGACTCGGGCTTCCCCTTTGGTCCTCCCCACGCTGGGGTTGTCCCCGCTTGGTGCCAGCGCAGGCGTTGTCGTTGCAGACGAGCGGGAGGCCGTGCAGAAGAAAACCTTCACCAAGTGGGTGAACTCGCACTTGGCTCGAGTCACCTGCCGCATCTCGGACCTCTACATGGACCTCCGGGACGGGAGGGTGCTCATCAAGCTGCTGGAGGTGCTGTCAGGAGAGCTTCTGGTAGGACTTCCAGCTGGCTGGAGACCCTGGGACCCATGCCATGCCCTGCCATGCCATGCCATGCCCCACCAGCTCTGATGCTCCATCGAAGCTGTTGACTTTGGCGTTGACCAAGGGGTTGGGGTGGTAGCAAGGGTGTGGTGGTGTCCCTGGGTGGGAGTAGGGGTGCCCAACATGAAGGAGGAGAGGGTGCTCGTGCCGTGCCGTGCCGTGCCCCACCAGCTCTGATGCTCCACCAAAGCTGTTGACTTTGGCGTTGACCAAGGGGTTGGGGCGGTAGCAAGGGTGCAGAGGTGTCCCTGGGTGGGAATAGGGGTGCCCAACCTGAAGGAGGAGAGGGTGCTTGTGTCGTGTGGTGCCGTGCCATGCCCCACCAGCTCCATCAAAGCTGTTGACTTTGGCGTTGACCAAGGGGTTGGGGTGGTAGCAAGGGTGCAGAGGTGTCCCCGGGCGGGAGTAGGGATGCCCAACGTGAAGGAGGAGAGGGTGCTGAGCGTTGTCATGCCCCAGCCCAAGCCCACCAAGGGCCGGATGCGGATCCACTGCCTGGAGAACGTGGACAAGGCGCTGCAGTTCCTGAAGGAGCAGAGGGTGCACTTGGAGAACATGGGCTCCCACGACATCGTGGATGGCAACCACCGCCTCGTCCTCGGCCTCATCTGGACCATCATCCTCCGCTTCCAGGTGAGGCTGGGTGGATGGGGGGGGTACCCCTCAGCTCAGCCCCTCTTGGCTCGTTTCCAAGCAGGCGTTCTCCTCCGTGGATGTCCCCTTCCAACCCCGGGTTGTCTTTCTGCCCCTAGATCCAGGACATCATCATGCCGACGCCGGAGGGCCAGGAGACGCGCTCCGCCAGGGACGCGCTGCTGCTCTGGTGCCAGATGAAGACGGCAGGGTAGGTGGTGGGACCCACGCCCCACCGCGCCAAGGACTTGAGGGTGCCCGGAGGGTGACGGTGACGCCCTGTCCCTATCGCAGATACCCTCACGTGAACGTCACCAACTTCACCTCGAGCTGGAAGGACGGGCTGGCCTTCAATGCCCTCATCCACAAGCACAGGTAGGCAGGAGGCACCAGGACGTGCTGGGGTGGCAATGGGGGATGTCCCACGGGTGTGTCGCCATCGTTCCACGCCCTCTGTCCCCAGGCCTGAGCTGGTTGACTTCCAAAACCTGACCAAATCCAACGCCCGGCACAACCTGGAGCACGCCTTCAGTGTGGCAGAGCGACACCTGGGCATCACCCCGCTCCTCGACCCCGAAGGTGAGGCT